TTTTTTTTTTTTGGTTGGTTGGGGGTTTTGTTTTGTTTCAGGATTTTTTGGTTTCTGTGTTGTTGCTGTTGTTAGTTTTTTGGTTCATTTTTTTATTAATTTTTTCTGTAGAAATATTACTCATTTAAAGCAAACATTAGAGATATTTCAAATGCTCCAGGGAAATTACCTGAAGGAGCCCCTCTATTGTCTTTTGCAACAAAATACATGTTTAAAGTAAGCAGTGATTTAAAAAAACTATGCTGACACATCTTCAGTAAGCAGATTAAAAAATTCATTTTGATGAATATTCCCAAATTCCTTTCTGTCTGCTTCTCAGGATCCATTTAATAATGTAATAGCCTCAGGAGAAACACTGTGTAATGTCTTTTATAGTGCCAAAGCAGATCAATAAAATGCTGACTGCAACCTGTCAGGTGCTATAGAGATTGTGTCATTTTGCACCTTCAATATCACGCATATTATGGACAATAACTGTTTTATTGTAATCCTTTGGAAATAAAAGAAAAAAGCAAACAACTTAATCCATTGTTTCCATGTCCTACTCTACACTGGAAACAGCAAAACAGGCAGATTTCCTGGTTTGAGCACTTCATTTCTGCTATAAACACAGCAATCATTTGAATGAATAATTTCTCTGTTAATTCTGCCTGAGATTTAGATTTGGAACAAGCAAAGAACCAAAAAATGGCTAAATCCCAGTGAAATTTGTACCCATTGAACCGGTGGCAGTGCTCTTGTCCCTCAGTGGCAGAAGCACCAACTGCAACTGGCTCTGAAAACCCTCATTTATCAACCGAGGTACTTTCCAATTTAAAAATGATCTGTCCCAACACACACCATGGCTTTACAGCCCTATCCCAAATTCCACATCCTCACCGAGGAGCAGCTCCCCAGCAGTCACCAGCAGTGTTCAGACTCCAACCCAAGGAGCTCTTGCAGTTTTTCCCAAAGGTGCAGCCCATGGTCCTACCTGTGGGTCAGAGAGCCGGGAGATGTCGGGGTAAAGGTAGAACTTGATGCCCTCGGAAGCGCCGGGTAACGTCACCCCCCGGATCAGGAGGATCATCAGCATGATGTAGGGGAACGTGGCTGTTACATACACAACCTGGGGGAGAAAAGAAACATCAGAAAAGGATTTTCTTGCAGCTGCAGCAAAACCACCCTACTTTCACATCTGCTGGAGGGAAAAGGACTTTTTGGATGTCTTTGTGCAGGTGATTTTTGTCCTCCAGTTGTATTCCCTTCTAAACTCTTTAGGTTTTGTGGGAGAGGTCAGCTCTTTGTTATAGAGGTTGCTCTGTAAGTGCATTATTTCCAAAGACAGGTACTCCTGATAACAAGTAATTAATTATACAAGCAATGGATTCTCAGTACCCCATAATTACTAAACTGATTTCTCTTCAGACTGCACTGCCTGCATGTCTGGGTTTCAGGTGATGCCTTAAGTTTTAGCTTTTATATTTTTCATATTCTGTGGTGCCTAGGTGTGTAGTTTTAAGCTTCATATTAAGTGCTATTGAGCTCTCTTCACAGAGCAGGTAGACAAAACAATTCCTTTTCTAGCTTGATACCAAGGACAATCATTACAAGTTTCAGGCCCAAAAGCTTAAATGACGGTGGGCTGAAGAGAGAAAACAAGGATGGGAATTCATAACCTGAAGCTGTAATTGAACAATTAACCCTGATATGCAGATGGACCTAAACTTATAAAAATGTGAGACCTCATGACCAGTCATCCATTTTGTGACTATTTTTGGTCCATCTTGGGTGCAGCCCTGGCCAGGCTCTAGTCCTGCCCAAGGTGTGCCCTTTAAGGCGTTACAATAAATACCTGTTTTATTCTTAACTCTGCCCAGCCTCTGTTCTAGGTCAGCCTTGTCAAGGCACCCAGGAATAAGCATTTCACCAAGCCCAAAGGTTAAATTCTATCCATATCTCCTTGGGATTTGATAGAGAACCCTTACAAAGAACCTTCAAGTGAAATTTCTGGTGTGCTGTACCCCAGCAATTTCTGCTTTCACATACATGGCCACACTTATTTTTTTTCCCATAATCAGTTTGTTCTCTGCCTGGGGAACAACAGGAAACCTGCAAGAAGTCACATTTTCCAAAGGAAAAATGGAGCAGAGGGTCCTGCTTCACAATCCCAAGCCAGAGAGCAGCACATGGCTACTCAGAGAAGGATTAAATGATAAATTCCATGGCAGTATCAGTATTTTCTTTATGTGACAAGGATTAAATGATAAATTCCACGGCACTATCAGTATTTTCTTTATGTGGCAACCACCTGTCTATAAATTTAACTCTCTATAATTGTCTGTGGCCATTTTCACCTGTGAGATGTTACTCTTACACTTGCCTTGTACCAGTCAAAATTAGTTAAGCTGCAAGAATGGAAAAAAAATCATTTGGTGAAAAATACAACCTCAAAAAAATATTAATTTTAAACTCAGGAGTCCAATGTCTGTCTCCTATGTAAATGAAAGGGATACATCAAAGACTGGACCTGTGAAAGGATTCACAGACGTATTTTTGTAATTAATGCACTGAAATTGGATTTTCAGATTCTTTAACTCCAAACATTAAATGATTCTATGTGCCTCAGCAGGTGGGTAGGAATTTGAATTTCCCAGGAAATGGAGAGCACCATTCTATTCCTATAGGTCCCAAAAGCCTGAACTGATGAATTCCTAGGTCAATACAATGCAAAATGGGAAGTTTTATCCCAGTGCTTACATTTGTTGACTGTTAGTGGGAATGCAAATTGCTATGACTGGCTGAGTTCAAGCAGACCTTGTCTGTCCACATCTGGGTTTCAAATTAAAAAGGATCAGCAGGTAATGACAATTAAAAAACAAACCCACTGGATGGACACAATCCTGCTCTGAGCCTTAAATGAGGTGGAAAGGATGGAGTAGCCAGCTGATAGTTTTCATTTATTTAGTCTTTGCCAGCTATTTTTTCCTCCTTGTTTTAAATCCAGAGCTGTATTTAACAGAGGGTAGTCAGCAGACACATCCATTTGATGGCACTGAAAGCCTTGCACCTGAACATCTGTAACATTTCCTTGCATTTCCTTCCTTCTCTGCACTGCTGTGCAGCACATCCCCTGCTCCCTGCACATCCCAGCCTGCCTGCCACCTTCCACCGGAGCAAACACCATCACCAGGCAGAGGCAGATTCCTCCCCAGGTTGTGTTGGGAGGATCTCCTCTCTCATCCCCATCGAGGAAAAACCAGCACAATTCACCTCTGCAGCCAGGAGTAAAGGATCTGTGCAATCCCACAGCAGCAAGGGCTGCATCCACAAGCTGGAAGGAATTTTTTGGCCATCAGGGCAGCTCTGCCCCAGCTTTAGAGGGATGAGGGCTCTCCCTGCCCTCTGGTTGCCATGCAGAAAGGGGAGAAAAATCAAGCACCATTGCATTTCTGGCAATAAGTACCAATACAGACATCCAGCAGCACACGGAAAGGGACACCAAGGCAGCAGGAGAGGGAAAGGTGGACAGGTGCCCTCTTCCCGAGCCACCAGCACTGCTGATTATTGCTCACACAACCCCTGAGGCTGAAAGGCTCCAGCTTCTCCTTTACTTCAACAGGTGAGTGCACTGTGCTGGGGGAGAGCCATTAATTCCCATTTTCTCCCCCTCCCCAAGAGTTCCTGAGGTGAGGCAGGATGGGGAATTTAGGAATCAGTGCCATTATTAGCATCATCATCACCACTGCATCTGTCGGGCATTAAAAGTTTCCTGAATTGTTTTCTTTTCTTTCAACACATCGAACCTCTCTGAATATCAATGTGAACACAACTGTTTCTAATTACACCACATCCTGTTTTAATTGACTTTAATTGCTTGGTATGTTAATTTGCATCCCAATGCTCAAAATGCTTTTTTTAAACCCTTGTCAGAGCCATGCCAATGTTTAAGCAGTTGGAAACAAAATAAAAATTTCTGGCAGGCGAGTTTTTGCACTAAGTTCTCCTCTTACAACGTGGTTGAAAGAAAAATTTACAGTGACATTTAGACATACAAGTAGGTGGAAATGCACCCAACATCTCTGAGCTATCCTTGGGTGCTTAACTGAAAGTCCATTGGAACCAAAGATCCTGAGAATGGATATTTTATTGACTGCCATGAGCTTTAAGTATCAAAGAATAGGAAATAAGTTGAGTACCAAGCACTGGAAATTTAAATACCAAAATTTTAAAGAGACTTAGATGTCACTCAAGGTTAATATATAGATATTGAGGTACCTATGAAATGATTTCATGAGTGAGGCACCATAAAGATTTTGGGAGCTGAGCTAGATTTCAGTTTCATCTTTTCATGCCTAAATATCTTAACAGCACAAATAAGTGTCTGTGTTCCAGTTTGTCCCTTGGGAACATCTTGTCCTAAGTGAAAAGGTTTTTCTGACCAGATCATGCTGCAGGGTGAGGGGGATCTGGCGTGGGAGAAGAAGAAATTGAGGATAACCCCACTGAGAATAAAGAGGAAGATTTCCATGCAGTGAGCTGAGCCCCAGCCCATGGAAACCTCAAAGCCCCAAATCAGATTTCTTTGGCCAAAGCTCCTGCAGAGCACACCAGCCTGAGCTTCACACGCTTCCTCACAGCAGCAGGAAGCAGAGAACCTTCCTCCTTTGTTTGGCCCTTGCTAAGAGAGACAGAACCAGAATTCCTGAGAAAAATATGGCTCAGAAAGCTGATGGGATTCTTTCCTGCAAACTGCAGTGTTCAATCTTGTTTGCATCATAATGAACCAACTGTATTTTATAAATGGCATAAAACTTCTCTTGATGCTTCAGAAGATTACTGGCTTGCCAAGCCCTGTTCCCTAAACTCCTCTGTTGCTCCATGGGGCTGTAAACACGAGGAATATCGATGCAGACATTGCCAGAGATTTGCCAGAATTCACTGTTAAAGTGTTTGTGGAAAGTCAGACCTGCCCCCATGCCCTGCTCATCCTTATTTTTCATGGGCTGTTTTCATCCTGGTGCCCTTTAACTTATTTCTTTGTTTATTTGAAAGCATGAGCTTGGAGAAGCAGAGTGAATCCCCCAGCTGTGTCCACACTGCACTCCTGTGTGGAGAAACTGCTCAGGAACCAAAATTTCACCCAGTGACATGAGAGGGAAAAGAGGAATTTTTATCCAGGAGAACATATTGGCACAAATATAGAAATATAACTATCATACCCCTGCCTGGCAGCTCTGCTGAGGAGGCTCACCCAGGAACCACCAATCTGGGCAAGATTTCCATCAAAATATTTTAAATTGTCCCTCCAGCCACAGTCAAACCAGCCTTTGCCTTGCTAATATTTGCAAGTTTAAAAATTCTGACTTCCTAGGTGATACCAGCAGATGATAAACATGATAAAAGACTTTCTTTTTCAAATATTCCATGCAGCATCGTTTGGAAAAAAGGCTTTTTTTCATCTGACTCTACACCATCTATGGAGCTACAAGTGACAACTGAAAAGGGAGATTTTCCACATTAATTTGATTTACAAGAAAAATGGTATAAAATGGTATAAAGGAATGACAGCTGATTCACAAGGTTTTTAAAAGCACGTCAAAAGGGGGAAAACATTCCAGGTCCACCTACATTTTAAAGTTAAATTTCATATGCTGAAAAAGAAATGAGAGCAAAATCCCAACAGAACACCAGGTAAGTGGATTTGTATAATTGGGATGAGGGGAGGTGGTTAGAATCAGCAAAATGGCTGATTTTTCTGTTTTCTCTGTGTGTTTTGTGGGTTTATTCAGCATATTCTGTTTGTCATCTTTGTTTATCTGCAGAGGGAATCTTGCTCCAGAATAATTCTGGTAAACCATCCTTAACCAGATTGTCTATGAACTGCAGAATTCCTTCTGAATTGCCACTGAATCATGTGTGAGTGATCACAGCCTCACTCCAAGCAGGAATAAATTCAAAGCCCAACAGCTAAGAGAATTTAATGAGATTTGAGGACTGAGAAATAAGTGTCAAAGAGGAAAAATTCATTGGGAATGAAAATTCAGTGAGATGAGCCAGAAAAGCGGGGCCAGGAGAGGACACTCGGGGAAGGGATGCAAGAACCTGAGTGACCACAGGAAGCAAGAG